CGCTTTTTCATGGATAACTGTTACCACCAAGTTGAAGTTAACTTGCCGGGCCTTAGTAGTTAGTTAGTTAGTGTTACTGTCAAGAGTTGCAAAATAGGTGTATGTTCATTATTTAATCTTTTTTTTTCAGGCAGCACCAATATTTGAATGTCATTCGTGCAAAAAGAAACTAAAAGAGGTCAGTTTCTGACTAAACATTTGATGAAAATGCATAATTACCATTGGCCTTCGGGTCATTCCAGATTCAGGTGAGAAATGAAAATATGAAAATTAAAGAAACCTCTAAAGTTTAGATCTAACAATCTCCATTAGAATGACATACATTTTAGCTTTATACATTAACAATAATAGCCCACTTTCCCGTGTAAACTCGTATGTGTTTATGTATGAAAATACCGTATACGTATCAGCCCTTAACACGTTAACTGCCACAATATAAAAAAAAATTTGATCCCCTGGGCCACAAGCTAAAAATTGTTTATTATACTTTCAAATTCATAAAAATGTTGACACGATATTTATTACTCGTCAATAGCTGTCAAAAATTGTGTTTTTGAACGTGAATCAAGTGTGTCTCACGTGGCCTGGTTAACCAAATTTGCACAGAGGGCCACATGAATCATGCGTGATGCAAAACATAACCTATCTATTCTCGGTGATCACCACGTGTTGATTCTTCATTTAGTCTATGGTTATATTAGCGATACAGTAAAGAGAATTTGCGGTTTTTATTAACCAAGGTAAGATTTTTTGTTAACATTTCATTACAACAATTAATTTATGTTTTTTCTTAAGATAAATGGGTAGCTATGAGAAAGAGCAGCAACGTCTGCAAAAACTAATGACGAGATGTTTTCCGATGAAGAGGCCGATCCTTTTGAGGCTTCCTCAGATGAATATGAACCTGATAGTTGGCATTCATCGTCTTCATATAGCTCGAAAGGCAGTAACGAGCCATTAGTAAAAAAGAAAAAAACAGTGGATCATCCAATAGCATCTTCTGATGTTGGCAGAGAAGGTACTAGTAGACAGCTTCTTACCAGAACTGATGATTCATCGTCTTCTCAGAAAGTAAATCAAAATGATTCAATTCTGGACACCATAGAAGCGGTTATTCATCAATTTCAACTGGACAGCTCAGATGAAAATGAGGAACTGGTTCCATCACTGATGTGGCAAGAAGTTTCTGGGCAATATCTCAAGGACTTTCCGATTGACATTCCCGAAAGTGGTGTTGTAAATGCTTTATTTGAACACGTTGACAAGTCTCCTATTTTTTTCTTCAAGTTAATGGTTGACGAAAATGTCGTAAACAATATTGTGAGGGAAACAAATCGTTTCGCTGCACAGAAAAAAGAATCGACACTACTAAAGTGGTCTCGAATAAATAAGTGGAAAGATACCAATTCTGACGAAATCATGACTTTCATTGGTCTTCAAATTTGGATGGGCTTGTTTCGTGCTCCTAAACTGGCAGACTATTGGTCAAAAAAGAAGATATATGTGAACCAAATTGCAGGCGTATGTCGCGCAACAGATTTGAGTTGTTGTTGGCGAATTGGCATTTTCAAGATAATCAAACCGCCGACACTTCTGATAGATTGTACAAACTTGGACCCCTCCTGGAGCAGCTTAGAACGAACTTTCAAAAGTACTTCATTCCCAAAGACCAGATATGCGTGGATGAAACGCTTGTCCCTTTCCGTGGAAGGCTGGCTTTTATTCAGTATATCAAGAATAAACGGCACAAGTTCGGAGTGAAATTGTAAAATTATGTCTTGATGGAGGCTATACCTATGATTTGAAAATCTATTGTGGCAAGGAAAAAGTGCAAGGGTCAAGCGTACCAACGAACATCGTTATGAACATTTGCGAACCACTTTTGAACTGCGGACGATGCATTTATGTAGATAACTACTACACCAGTATGGAGCTAGCACACAAGTTACTCGAGAAAAAAACTCACTTAGTGGGTACGCTAAGAAAAAATCGTAAAAAAATCCGAAAGGTGTTATACACAAAAAGCTGAAGAAGGGTGAATCATACAGTCAAGAGAGTAATACGGGAGTTGTAATAACAAAATGGCACGACAAAAGGGAAGTCCTTACTTTATCTACTAAACATACTGGCCAAATGGTTACAGTGAGATCACGACGTAATGCGGAAGTAGAAAAGCCCGACGTTGTTGCTGACTATAATACATGCAAAGCATTTATCGATTTATCGGATCAGATCAAATCATATTCCTCAGCTTTGAGAAAAGGGATAAAATGGTATAGAAAAATTGCCGTGGAATTGATTCTAGGATCGGCCATGGTAAATGCATATATCCTGTTCAAAGCAGTAACTGGACAAAAAATGACTATAACAACATTCAGAGAAGAAGTTGCTTCATGCCTTCTAAATTTCCCACAAGAACACCAGAACGAGCAAGAAGATACGCAAGCAAATCAAATAAAACATATTTTAGAAGATGTCAACACTTCTAATAGGCGAAGATGTTGCATTTGCTACTGTAAAATATCAAAAGAAAAGGGAAGAACCGTGGCAGCCAAAACCACTGCACAAACTAGATGGAAGTGCATTCAATGCGATAAACACTACTGCGTGACTTGCTTCACAGAATCTCATGTTTGTACAAAATAGTTGTTCTTGTTGTTTTATGTAGCTAATTAGTTCCTATACTTGTATTTTCTTCGTTTTTTTGTTTCAATAAAAAGCGTCCAGCATGAAGTTTGTCTTGAATTAATAAAAGTTAAAATAATTTGCACTTAGTGCCTAAATAAAAACAAAATAAACAAACTTTTACGTAGGCTAACTACCTCATTTTATTTGCGAGGCCACGGTTGTTCAACTACCATGTTATTATGCGGCCGCTGTGAATCGTCGCTGAGCTACAGATATAAACCTAATAGTTTTCACGTGAATCAAGGATCACATGGCTCACTGAATTTATAACCTATGAGACACACTTGATTCACGTGGCAGTTAACGTGTTAAATCGCAGTGTTTACCTTATAATGATTAACCAAAGTTAAGGGCGTCCCTAAGCGTATTGAAACGATCCCAGAGACGCAGAAGTCAACGTGACATTATTCCGTTTACTTGTACAGTACGGAAAGCTAAACAATCGGCTAACAAAGTGGCAAGGCAAGTAAGGTTATGTAAGATTTGTTGTCAAACGTATAATTTTTTCAACGCGTAGTTTCGCCCAGAACACTCCTCAATATCCCATCAAACATCACACAACAAATAATATGGTAATCCTCCATGTTTTAAAATTCTTCTTCAGTGCTTACGTTTCGGCGACCTTCAGTTCATGACACTTTTGACAATATTTCTTTTCTTTCAGGTGTCACGTCGTTTGTTTTTTCTTTTCATTTTCAGATTCCTACGCAGTGTTACTTTAATAGTCTGAAAGATCCGTAACATATCGAGAAAAGGGCATCTAGCCCCCCCCCAAAACGAAAAAATGAACTTGATGTTACGGTTCGATTTTTTAATGCACCGGATGAAAAGTGTCATGTACTGAAGTAGGTCACCGTCGTGACCGAGACTTATACTACTGGCTGTGTGCGCAGGTGCATGATCGTGGTGGAAGAACTAGACCCCTGGCTGCCACAAATTGGGTCTTTTTGACGAACGCAATCGTCTTAAAACCTCCAAATAGCACAAGCTCTCTAATTTTTTCAACATTTTCTTCCATTCGGGCAGTTGATGGACGTCCAGAGCAAGGTTTGTCATCAATCGACATGTCGCCATTTTTAAATCGAGCAAACCATTCGTACATCTGAGTTTTTCCCATAGCATCGTCTTTGTAAGCTATTTTCAACATTAAAACAGTTTCAGCAGCATTTTTGCCAGTTAGAAAGCAAAATTTCACAGCGGCACGTTGCTCACTGAAGCGTGTCATCGTAGAAAGAAACAAGCACGAAACAATTCTAGTACAGAGGAACGAAACAAGCCAGATCGACAACTCAGGCACTGGCTCTAGGGGCAGAAATGTGTACTACACAAGCTCCGCCCACTGCAATGATATTCCGGTTATTTTTGGGTATCTCCTCGTATGTGCTTTCATTGGCCAGACAAACATGGGGATTTATCGACATGAAAATCACAGAATAATTTTCAAATGTTACATTAAATAAATGGTGCACAACTAGATGGAAATTTAATGATCGCCACCCACCAATGTATTCGCCATATCCTTGCAGACAAATGTTTCTCAAATTCGGGCTACCTTGTGAATTTTGAGAAAAGCTGAAAATCTGACAGTGTATTTTTGGAGATGGCATCTGAAAATGCTAAGGATAAGTTGATTTTAGATGTCATAGATCATTTCAAGCTGCACCACTTTTCTTCAAAAATCAAAATTATGTAGATCTGGCTACCTCCGTCAGAATGAGATATCTAGTTTTTACATCTTACATAATTCCGCATGGGTATCATATAAAAAACCTATAAAACGTCAAAAAAAAACCTATAAGATGTCATCTTGCGAACTAGGTAGTTTTTAGGGCGCAAACAGACATTCCACGTTTGCTCACTAGGATCGTTGTGAACGTCCCTCTAAGGAGGAATCACTCAACTAAACTACACGCATTACTGGTTGCATATGTTTTGGGAGGCCAAATAGTCCTTGTCTGTAGTTTTTATCTCTGAGAAGAAAGTTGGTTGAATAGCAAGATCGCGTCTGGATGATTTATGTGTATTGGTCTGAATGTGTATAAAATCAGTGACATTTGCTGTGTGAGAAAATCATTACTGAATATGCTACCAATGAAGTATATCTGTTGGCTGTGACGGGTTATTTTTATGTTGTGCTTTCTGAAGAGAGGTTATGTTCAAAGTTATAAATTACGAAAAACTGAGGAGAATTACGGGAAATCATCACCGCGCCTGCGTTGTGTGCGTAATTACTTTTAGCATGTATATGGCTTGTAATTCGACAATGTACAGTGAATATAACTATTTCTTATCTCTCTCATTTTTGAAATTCAGCAGACTATAGGGTTCGGGATCACATAAGATTCCGATTTCAACTGCTTCCACTATCTCATTTTTTTTATCTAAGCTGAGAGCAATGGAGACCCTTCTTAAGCAATGATTGATTATCGATGTTACATTACAGTGAAAGTTGTAAATATAACATTCTTGTAGATACCGTAAAGACAAAGATGGAATCTACCGCTTGCAAACGGTTCGATACGAGAGTCTTGAAGTCACTGAAGAGATGATTAGGAGTGAGTCGATGCAAAAAAGTGATGGCGCGTCGCTTGGTTCTGATGATAAGAAGGATTACTGTATATCTGTCTCGTGCAGTAACGAAGCCTTCGCGTCAGGCGAAGATATTATAATTATGATCACGGATGTTGACGAACAAGGAAATATTATTCAGACGAAGGTATTGAAATCGCATACGCTTATATAAATGGTGTTCCATTTATTGTTTATTTTTTCAACTACTATTTTTGACATTCGCACCGAAATTGCGACCGTGGACTCTCTAATACTGCAAAAAGTCATCGAAAATTTTGATGTTCGGATGATGGCATGTCAACGGAGCCGCGGTGGACATATTTGCGATGTTATATTCAAAACAAAATGGCAAGACCGACCTACAATTTTCAATAAGAGTTCCGTTTCTCACTCATAAAAAGTGTGTTTTTTTAGATTAAAAAATTAACGGATGGAACACCCTATACTTTTTCATCGATTAGTTATTTGAACAAGTGAACAAGATAGTTGAAAATATAGTAAATGCGGTAGAATAATTCCATTATAAACTATTTTTTTAGGAATATGTACTAAAACTATGAGAAGCTATAAAATAATTTGTCAGTTTGAAACTAGCTACATTTTACTTCATACTATATCGACCCTTCAACTAAATACACCTTTTTGTAGATGGTGGAATCTGGTACCGTTGTAGAGGAAAAAATCCTGCTGAAAAGTCCGGTGGTTGGGCTTCAAATTTGGACGAATCGGATGATGAGCCACCGACCTGATCCAGATGGATTAACTAATCTGAGAAATGTCTATCACTGTTTGTTTCTGTGTTCAATTGATTATATCTTCGTTTGTTACATACATGATTTAATACATATTTCTATTGAAGATAGTTGTGATTTTTTCAAATAGCAACGTGTTTAAGAACGGTACTAACAAAATACGGTAGGTACCAACGTATTTTTTTTTTTTCGAGTTGGAAACATTCCTTAAAACTTACTAAATGTATTTCGGAGATATCTGGATCTTTTGAAGTTTTGAAGGAGATGCAATGACGGTCGCTGTGGTCTTATGACCAGGACCGACCTTTATGCAACCCGTCTCTCCAGGTACAGGTTGTTACGGAGTTCGACCAATAAAGTCAATCACAGATAGCATCAAATATTTATTAAATATTAAAAAAGTTTATATAATATTTCTAGCGACACGATTTTTTAATATTAACAAAGAAATTTCCTATCTATTCATAAAATATTCGATATATATATTTGTAGTATATTATATTCATATATTTTGGCGATATTTTCACCAAATATTAGAAAATATATGAAGAAAAGATTTTCAAATATCAATTTATATTTTTATGATATAATCTTATATTTTTTGATGTAGATATGTATGGATTTTCAAGCATTACTCTGATACATATTTTCAAAGTATATAGAAAATTCTTTATTGGTTATTATTAGCAAAAATCTGTAGGAATGCTTTTTATAAAATTGGGTTTATAAAAAAGGTCATTTTAGATATAATGGTTTAATTGCTAGAAAAATATCGTAAAAAACATTAATTCTGCAGCTTGCAAATCCACTTCTCAGAAAAAAAAAACTTACTAATTATGAAGAATTATTGAATACTTACATAAGCCTGCTTTCCAGTGGTCTTTTGTTTGAGAGAGATATTCTCCTAAACTACTCTAGAGAGGGTATTTATGGGAATATAAAATGCAGTGAAACAATATTGGTTGCTGAGCACTGCTGATTTACTCCGAGTAGCTCAACTGGGTCACTTAAAAATAGCTCTATATGCACCTAAAAAGGACCCACATTTTCTATCCTATGAGAGTTAGAGATTTGGTTGATGTTTAGCAAATTTGGTATGTTATTTTAGATATCTTGATGAAAAATAACAAACTTGATCCTTTGACTAAACTTTCAAGAAAAGGTGTTTTAAAAATAGGCCACTTATTTGATTTTGTTGAAATGTGACTTTTGTTGCTGTAGTAAGGGGGCTAATTTAGCATAACTATTTTTGTGATTTTATATTATGATTCAAGGGACAAAAATAGTATTTTTCCACTGTTAAAATTTTGGAACGTCCTGTTGAAGTTTTAGAAATAATAATAATAATTTTTTTTAAATAATTACAGCTTAGTTTGACCCATACTAACAACAAAATAATAATAATAATTGAGATATTAAAAAAAAGCATTTTTGATGTACCTCGATCAAGTTGCGATTATATGATTTTCATTATGAATATAATTTCGTATCCTTTTCAGTTAAATCCACCAATCCCAAATCGTCAATGACTGCTACACTTCAAGGCTAATTATTTATGGTCTTGCAAATACCTTCTTACTCAACTGGCACAATAATGTTTACTAGTCAGATAAATTAAGCTATTTAATGTGGAAAAACTTACTCTTTCCCCTTTCCACAAAAAACACTCAAATAATGTACCACAGGAAGCACGCTATCATAGTGACACTCGCAGAGGCAAATGGATGCCGGAAAACGGGTCGGCTCAGGTCGGCCTTGCCATTATGCCATTGGTCGCTCGGGTCACACGCACACAGATTTAATGAATATTTCGTAAATAATGGAATTTAGTAGTTTTACATTGATTGAAAAGTAAATATTTAATGAGATTATAAATAAATAGTGTATTTAACATATTGAATAAAAATATTAGATTCAAATAGTTATTAAATATGGTTTTTAAGATAACAAATATTTAAGTAAGATAAAATATTAGTAATTATTGAGTAAATATTTAATGAATATTTCGTACTGTCGGGGATGAATTTATCGTTACTTGTTCTTCCGCATTCTACCCTACACATTTGCAATATTTGCCTGGAGGCAACAGTACTATCAGTGAATTACGAAGTTAATGATTGGATCCATTGTTAAGTTATATCCAGCGAGGCGATACAATAATAAATCAAAGACAAAATTATATACATAGTTTTATTAACCACATCACATAATTAAAAAAGTACATAAATTACAATACGCAACTAGTAAGTACGTAAAGGAGAGCAGTTGAGCTTGAAATCTTGCATCATAACAAATAAATACAAAAGATGAAAATGTAAAAATATACGAAAAGCGATTAAACCTAGTATGTACAAAAAGTATAAAATTTTTTTACAAAAAATCGACAATGAGTATTTTTAGATGTACGTAGTTTGGCAGTGCGATAAAATGTCCATGGTTTTGCCTATGAAAAGATAACTAACATTGCACACTGTGCATACTCAAAAAATATACGGGAGGTCAACGAAATGAAAGAGAAGAAAATCGATTTTTTAATCATAAAAATCATAATGTCGTTGTCGGGTAATTAAATATTACATATACCAACACAATTTTGTGAGTAAAACTGGTAGAGAATCACTTGGTTGTTTCACAAACTTTAAAAATACGTGAATCCGAATTTTCACTGAGCATAATAATAAAGGGTGATCCATCGATTGAAGACCAATATTCATGCAGCCATTGTGAGATAATGCCGGACTTTGGAAATGTACTGAAAAATTGGGTCGCGTATGAATGAGATTGTGTTTCATCATTAGCCGGAAGGACAGTACTCTAAAATAAAAAACCCGTTTTGAAAAAGAAGTCTGCGTTTCATTTTAACCATCGATTTGAAAATTAATCAACAGATGGATCACCCTCTATAATAATGTAGCGTCTCAGTTTGTTTTGATATATGCGGTAACTTGAATCTTCGTTAGGGTCAGAGCTTTTCATTCCACTATGTTACAAATTATTATCCTAGCGGCGGCTATATCAAAAAAGTTATTATTTACTATATATATTTCTAGATAACCCTTTAATTAGTCTCCATGAATAATCTGAATTTGAGAGCGTACCGCAGGTTTAAGACATTATTTGACTAGTCTATTCACAAGTGAGAGCATTCATAAATATGGATCCCTTGACTAGCACACTTCGCACTTACACAAGGTGTCCTAAAATTTGTGGATAACGTGCTGGATTTACTCAGCATCCCTGTTTTCAAAAATTCAAACAGTTGCCTGTTTGTAGACCAATTTTCATTTCCATATGAAACCTTCGTCTAATTGGCTATGACATTAATGTCGAGAATTACATAAAATATACTTAAGGTGTTTAGCACCTCAGTGTAATAAGTCGTAGAATTGGAAAAACTTGTTTGACAATGAGACTGGAACTCTCTTCTTCTTTTTACGTATAAGAAGATATGACGTGATACTTGTAAATGCCAGTTTTCGCTTTAATTTGTTATAATATATTGTCCAGCCATTTTAGGCCACTTTGTACGTCTGGGGGGTAGCTACATATGAAATTTAATGGATTAGCTCTCAGAAAGGTAACTTTTTTGACGTCGGTCCATACATATGAGAGCGGCAGTTATAGCATCTGACATTGATCCATTAAGTTGCTACATTCTGCTGGTGTTACCCCAAGCGATGCTGTGTGCAGGTCTTGGTGGTCTTGGTAGAGAACTTCTACTACCACTGTTGCTACCGTATATTTCTTCCTCAACGAATGCCTTGTTGACGTGCCCATTTTCAAATACCTCCTGAAATAAAAAATAGCATCTTATAGATTGATTCGATACTTGCCACACATTACACACCTATTCATACAAACTGACAAAAACTCGCCTCACATTGATACTGTATAATTCTACATAAAATTCTACATATGGAGCATTTAAAGATTTTCCTATTAGCATATATTTCGTTTTGTTTGTGTTTAGTTTAAGTTTATTTACATTTAACCAATTTACTACGTTTTTCATATCATTATTTAACAGCTCTATTGCAGTTTCAATGTCTTTATTTGATATATATATATATATATATATATATATACGAATATATATAAAAATTAAAGCTTCCGCCTTTTGTTGGGTACTTCGACAAAATTTAAGCAGAGAGGACTCTTTATACTTTTTTAATTCTCTCAAGCTTTCAATGGACTTTGCCATCATCATCAGGAGCTGCAATTACAACAATTACAATGATAACAGTAGCAACAAAAGTGTAAAATAAATTTAAATTGACTAAATTCATTTTACACTTTTGTTGCTACTGTTATCATTGTAATTGCAGCTCCTGATGATGATGGCAAAGTCCATTGAAAGCTAGAGAGAATTAAAAAAGTATAAAGAGTCCTCTTTGCTTAAATTTTATCGAAGTACCCAACAAAAGGCGGAAGCTTTAATTTTTCACCTAACTGGTCTAGACGACAATGACCACGTCTCAAAATATATATATATATATATATATATATATATATATATATATATATATTAATGTATCATCAGCAAATAGTTTAATTTGGTAGTGTTGTAAAATATTAGGAATATCGTTAATATATAAAATAAATAGTAATGGTCCTAATTTGCTACCCTGTGGCACACCTACCGAAATGTTTTTAATGTTTGATAATGTCTTGCCAATTTAGTTCTTTGACTTCTATTGATTTAATAAGTTGAATACTGAACCTTGGATATGAAACATAGCGTTTTATATGGGAAATTGTCTGTACTTTTAGTGAAAAAACCAAATTTGAATTTAAAAACCAAAACCACTCTAGGTTATATTTTGGATAAAATAATCATGAAAAAAGTTGTAAAAGTGACGTTTGCTTCCGGTTTTGCACCCTAGTTTTTCAGTATTGAATATTTAAAAAAATCGTATGAAAATAAACTATAATTTTAAGTTGAAATGTATTTAATTTTGTTATCCCGCTTATATCAAATTATAATTTGGTAAAAGAATGTAACTGTGCTCAGTCGGTAGTTAATAAGCCCTCAGAGGGTGATTCTTTGTACTTAGGATTTTGGATGCAAATGGTTGTGGTTCGGACGCCTCCTAGTTAAGCACGAGGAAAAGAAATAACAAGTAACCAATGTTGGGTCCCTCGCGCTAAAGGAGATACAAACTCACAAGGTACACTAACATTTATGAAACAAAAGAAATAAAAAAAAAGGTGAATGAAGTCCTGGAGGACAAGCAAAAGAAAATTATTTTGTACTACCCCCCCCAGCAAAAACTAAAATAAAAATACCCATTGGCAGGTGCTTGGCTATCACAGGAAGGCAACCAAGGGCAGGAAGTCCCAGTTGTAACTCAATACCCGAAGGTAGAACCCTCGAACCATTTGGGCTCACTGAAATGAGGGACTGCTCCTCACAGACGTGAATCCTACTTAAATTCGCCTCAGAGTATCTATGTAGACAGTTCCCCTCAGCTCGATGGTTTTAGTGTAGTTGTGACAACGGCGAAATCCCAAGAGGGTGAGAAAAGGGCTCCGATAACAAAATTCACCAAGGGAGGCCGATTTCTACCAAAATCTCCACAACCCGATAAAACCCACATTGGGTGGGAAACTAATTCACTAACGAAGGTTGTGGATCGTATAACTCCTACACGAGAGCACCAGAAATAGCCCCAAGTCACCATCAGCTCTCGTATTTACGGTCGACAGAAAATATAAAAAAGAACGATTTAACGAGATGGAGAGTAGAGTACGATTTTCTACTATAATATTGTTAGACCAAGAGAAGTGTTTTGCTATAAAAATAAAATTCGATATATTTAATAATCGCTATAAAATTATTATTCTAAATAAGAAAAACGTTGTAATAATTTATTTCATCAAGATACAGTTAATTCAGTCAGACTGTAACAATTTAATTATTAGAGCTGAAAAATACTCATTTTTGTGACCTATTAAAGCAGTATCTCGCAAACCAGTGGACCTAAACAAGCTGCGTCATACTCAGGGTGAAATGTATCTACATTAAAGTACGTACTTCCTTAATTAATGTGCATATCATTTCAAAAATTTTGAAGTATTTTAAACACACATCGGACTATACTTTGGAGTAAAAAAATCGGAAATAAAAATTTTGGTGGAGTGTTTTCCTCAATTTTTTTTTGAATGTCAAATTTGAATTTTCATCAAAAAATTTCCTAAATAAAACGTTATGTTTCATATCCGACTATAATACTCTTCAATTTGAAAAAATGCTTCCAACGAAATCTCAATTTCAAATACTAACTTAGAAAATGAACGTGATACAATAAGATCATGTTTTTTTTTTACATTTCTGCTAGATGTTCAAACAGGCCCAATATGGATTTTAAAATCTTTTTTTTTGCAGACCGCTCCACGTGAAATGTCCCTTATGACAAACAACTGTCATTTCTGTCATCAAGAACAAGGCTAATAATCGGGGACCGCTTATTTTTACCTTAGCTGGAATACTGCTAGCTACGCTACTTCTATGGTTCCTTGTCACATTGTTATTTTGGAATTCGTTTTTCGCTCCTAAGGTCTGCATATGTGATTTGCGACGTTCGGCCATCACAGAATTGACACGCACTTCCAAAGCTTTCATTGTTTCAGGCCGCATCGTCATCCTGCGGCTCAATACTGGTGTACCTGGGTAACAAAGTAGACGTGTAAATCAAATAGTATAAAGCATGGTTTCGGTTGCTATACTACAACTAATTAAAACTGTAATGACTCATACGCGTGATCAACACGTGATCAGAGCTCGATCCCGGCTTCCTTCCAGTATAGCCGTATAGCGTACGACATATGTCGTTTCTGTGGCTTTGCGGTGGTCAACAGCACAGACAGAGATGGAAATAATGGCTGATTGTTCTCCGCCGGTAGAACCAATGAAATTAAAGACGCGCCTCGACCGGCAGACTCATAGGCGTCGGCAACGCATTGGAACGTGTTTCGTTGAGCGATCGCATATTGTGTGTTTTTATGAGAATTGTTGTGTGATTGTTATTGTTGTGGTTTCTGTGGTTACTGTTTTGGTTATACTTAACCATGGAGAGTACAAATGGCACGAGTGGAAGTACTGAAAGCCAGGGAACAAGTAGACGGCTTCGTAAAGCACTGAAGAGGGACGCGAAAGAAATCGTGCTCAACGTGTTCAATTATCTGAATAGAACTATGTCGCAGGGAGATGCACTCGCGCGTTGTGAAAGAATGACAGGCGTTCCAGAGTGGACCATTCGCAGGGTGGTGCATGAAAAGAAGAAAACTGGAGCTACTACTGATCCAAAGTTTAATTTAAAGGGACGAAAGGCCGTTAAATTGGATGACGATAGCAAAATGGCGTTAAGGCGAACCGTACATTCATTCTTCTTTAGGAATGAGATACCAACCCTCAAGGCTGTACATGCAGCGATCAAGGAAAATGAAATTATACCCCAAATGAGCGTCGAGGTAATGAGGAAATCCCTGCACGAAATTAATTTTCGTTACGAAACGCGTAATTGGAAGTCAGTATTGATAGAGAGACCTGAAATAGTCGCCTGGCGTCGAAAATACCTACGCGAAATGATTGAATATAGGCGACAAAGCTGAAAAATCTATTATTTGGACGAGACATGGGTAAATGCAGGTCACACAGTTAAAAAAACCTGGATAGACAAAAACGTAGTGAGTAACCGACAAGCAAGCATTGAAGGTTTGTCAACAGGTCTTCGTGGACCGTCAGAAAAGGTCAAAGATTGATCGTAACTCATATTGGTACCGATAGTGGCTTTTTAGAAGAGTATGACTTGATTTTCGTCTCTAAGAAAGGAGGTGATTACCATGACGAAATGAATGCCAGCTGCTTCGAGAGCTGGTTTCAAGGGGTGCTTCAGCGAGTTGAGCCCAACTCTGTGATCGTCATGGATAATGCTTCCTACCATAGTCGTCGAGCCGAACGTGTACCGACTATGGGATCTCGAAAAAGTGACATGCAGCAATGGTTGCGCGAAAAAGGAATCCCGTTTGACGATTCATGTGTGAAAGCGGAATTGTATGAAAAAATTAAACAGCACAAACCTGCGAACATTAGTTACGTGACTGATGAGATGGCCCGTCAATGTGGTGTCACTGTGCTGCGGTTACCGCCCTACCACTGTGAACTGAACCCAATAGAGCTCATCTGGGCTCAAGTGAAGGGTTATATTGCGCGCCATAACACAACCTTCAAATTACCAGACGTTAAGGTTTTACTTGAGACTTCCATACAGCTAGTAACGCCCGAAACTTGGCAGAATACTATCCGTCATGTTGTGAAGGAAGAAACAAAAATGTGGCAGCTTGACCACCACATCGACACCATCATAGAGCCAGTTATAGCCAATTTCAACGAGGAAAGCGATAGCGATAGTTTATTACTGTCAGATGTAAGTGGAAGCGACGATGAATAAAGGTAATTCCCAAATTTTTGACTTACAATATGTTTCAAACCACTCTTTATTAAGCATGTGACAAATCTAGTTCACCCATGTTAAATATTCATACCCCGCCTATGAACAGCCGACTACTGGTAGTTAAGTGATGTTCACGTGAACATCGATGAGTCATTACAGTTTTAGATAGTTATAGTATATATTGACTCGTAATGTTTGCGGGATAAGACGTTCGGTTGGGCTAGTTTTCTTTGTATTGAATAATAATAATAAATGGCCTTTATTCGTTCTATAGTTGAAAGGAAAAATAAAAAAAAAGTGTGTGGAAAAGGTGGACCGTCGGTTTAAGCTGTTTTTCAACCTGACCTGAAGACATAGATACAATTGATAAACTGCTATAAGGAAAACATATTTGATTACAAAAAAGCACAAAATATTCTACTTTCCAGAGAAATGAAACAATCAACTACCTGTAGAGATGCGTAAAGTTAAGTTTTAGCCTTCCGATTCTTTTAAGGTCATTTTTAACCATTTCTTAAGTAGCCTAGGCTGGATTCTTTATACCCAGTTGACAAGCAGTTATATAGTTTGGGGGCCCAGTGTGAGAAACTACGTGTGAACAATGCTGTGTAAACATAATATAGCACTTTAAGGAGAAGGAAGAGATGTATAGTTGTTGACACCGTTCTTGGCAGTTACGCCATGCGAAATAAGTAAACAGATCGAGTCTCTGTACTATGGGCGGATCTTAATTTTCTTAACCGCTGTTTTCATTCTTTTCCTGGAAATACTCCAATAAATTTCCTTCTCCATTGGTCGTATTTCCGGGCGTTGTACAATTTCATATTGAAGATTGATAACAGGACAACTCAAATTGCAAGCAGATTGCATAGTTGGTTAAATTTTTTGGTGAATATATGTTTTCCAGAAAATGCACTACCCTGTACTCGTATGTTTCACAAAATGAATTCGACGATTTATAATTTTGTCACAACATCGACGGCTTTGAAAATATCATATATGATTATAAGAAGTATAATCATAACTTCATCAAGATATTTCATTACCCACCTCCGTCAGGATTGGCGTTCAATTTTGCAAATCTCTTCTTGAACGCAACATCTAACGTTCCAATTTGTCTTTTCTTCTGCGCTGCTTTTTCTAGGTTATGAATGGTTTTTCTTCTTCCTATCCTGTCTGGCCCAGATCCTGAGTCGTTGTCGTAATCTCCATCGATACCCTGTAGCTTCTGTAGTTGCTTCACGATTTCAACAGCCTGTTTATCTAATAGAGCATTTGGAGACATCTCTTCCTTCTGAAATAAAAACGACGATACTTAATATTTTGCTCTATAGGTTCGGTGGATGTATTGAAGTAATATGTATTTTCTTTCAAAAGTTTCTTGGGTACAGGTCCTGATTACCTACTAACCTGTAGTCAGGCATTTATACTAATAATAATAGACGTCTTTATTTTATGATTCAAGTACTTGTATCACCTTTTTTGTGAGTAAAACTCCGTTGTGAAATTAGCTGTACTCTGTCGCATTCAAAGTTACATCATGATAAGGGAACATCCAAAGTAAGCAAGCTCTATTTTATTCTAGATAGGTAGCTAGGAAAAATAATTATAGTTACCTTCTTTGTACAGGACCAGTTTAGTTCAGTCGACGCTAAGATATGGGCTAATGTTCCAAATCGATGGAACAACATAGCGACGAATTGAATCACCAAAATCAATGCGAAGAAAAACACAAACACCAATCCTATTGGTTCCAGCTGGAGGTACTCTTTCGTTATATGTACCTAAAGGAATAAAGTACGTTAGATTGTTTTGTCGTTGTACAAAGCAGTTTCAAGCGAGGCAGCTGTTGTATTTGTCAATTATGTACAGTAATCTAGTAATATTTCATATTTCATGCACACAAAAATATTCAAAAGTTACGTATACGTAAAAATACATACTCCTAATGGGAGCAAGATTTGACAGTATTAGATTGTATATTTTTTTGGAGCTTACATGAACATTATTGACAAATAAATCAGGCTTATATTAATTCACATCACCAGGACACATGCATAGATTCACACCATACCAGTTAAATTATTCACAACGAATTGGAAAAAATAAGGGAGAAAATTGACGACAGGAACTTGTCTGGTGAAGAGGAGTTATCGATATTATTTCTTGATGGGTTACAACTGTACTGTATGTACTATTACAAACTTCATAATTCATTAATATACTGAACTGTGGGCTATGAACTACTTTGGATGTTTTACACATGGAACTTATTATTTATTCGACACTAGTTGCACATACTTCTGATGGCGGTAAATCCACTTTACGATGATGGTGATGAAATGTAGTACGATATGTTGGGATTTATGCATTTTTCTCTTATTTTTTTCTCTTGATTTCATGTTGAGTTTTTCTGCTTCTGAATCATGATGATCTAATCCGTCATTGCTGGCATAGCTGGACAGAAACAGAAGGTCATTTGGGAAAAAATATTTACAGTACGTTTGATCAGTATTTATGACATCACAGAGCTACCATTGTTTTTATTAAATTGTCCGTCTTTGCAGCAAGAGTTATTACCGATGGGGTGACTTCTCCATACTGATCGCTTTCATTCCACAGGAGAAAAATCCAGATATAAAATGTTTTACACTTTCCTTACGCTCTATACTTCTAGTATGTTTACTCTCTTTAATTTTGTGCAGGTCGTTTTGTAGATAAACCAGATTTTTTCCTGTGCATACCTCACAAGTGTACTTAATCCGTTCCTCTCCTACCAGATCTAGCCAGGCGTCATTCTACTCTTGTTGTAAGCAACCATACAATCTAGTTTCACATTTTGTTCAACTTGAATTTTTTTCAGTATTCCTGAGGTGTTTATCTTTAACTTCCAATCTGTGCGAATCAGCCAAGCCACTCCTCCCTTAGCCCTTTCTGTGTGTGTTTATTACCTTTCGATACATTTTTATTGTCTTCCCCTTTACTTATATCTACTTTACATTCAAAATTCTTGGTCCTTGCCGCTGCCTTGGCCGTCATCTCGTCATCGTTACTCTATTGTCTAGTTTTGTGATTTTTTACAATTTTCTGCTGTTCTACTTTGCCTTTTCTCTTCATCTTCTTTCTCTGGTGTTAGTTCACTAAATATTCGTGTTAATCTTTTATTTTGCTCGAGCTTCTAACATGTTACATATTTGCATCGAGTTCTTTTAGGATATAGGATCTAACATTCATTATTTTATAATGTCTAAGATATGTGGTGTTTCCCTTTACTCTTTCTTCTTCCATTCTCCCTTCGTAGTTCAACTATTATTTTAATATGTCTTTCCGTGATGATCTTGTTTTTTTCTTAATCAGCAAAATTTGATTCCTCAGTTTATTCGTATCTATTTCAACACGTACTTGTGTTTTTCTCCCTTTTTATTTCTTGTTTATCTTGTTGTTCTCTCATATTAGCTGTTTTTATTTTAAGTGTTATTTCGCTTTCATTTTCTTTACCCAAGCCGTGAATTATGAGGTACTTTTTCATAAGTTCTTGCTCTAGAAAGATTATATTCTTTCGCTCCTTGATCTTTTAGTTCTTCATTTTCGATTTTCATTTTTCCATTTCATTTCTGTCAAACCTGGTACTATTTTCTGATCCTAACTTATCCAATGTTCTGCTCATCTCCTCTAATTTTAAATTATTTGGTGCATTGCTGACAATTTTCAGGACAGGGGGACAACTTTTTAGCCAAAAACTACTTCACCCCTTTCACCCTCTGGCCCCCAGGGTCATCCCCTTAAAATTTTTAAATGACAAGGGGTATCGAGTAATAGCTTCTTTACAAGGTCTTTCGCAGTCCTTTATTTTGACCTTTGATTTTCGAGAAAATTAGAAAAATCTTTATTTATCTTAATTTGTTCAAATAGAAAACAAACACACACGAAAATATGACTTTTTATTTCAATAAGTGTTCAAAATGTTGCCCGTTATGGTTTGCCAAATCTACAATTTGTTTATAATTTAAAACGGAAATTACCAACATAAACAGCAATTCGGAAGGTTAGACATGGCAACAACCCGAATTTTTTCCGCATTCTTTTCATCAACATAGATATCCTGGGCTAACTGTATTTATTGTTATACTTGTTAAGTTATTTGTTGCTAAGGGAAAGAAAAAATTTAATTTGCTGCCTGTTACCTTTGTGATAATCTTGGGATAGTGAAAATTAATTTATTCCCCCATAACTGTTTTGAACCTTTCCATCGTCCAGTTCTGATGGTCTATTTTCAAAATTTTGGACTTTGATGGTTGTATGCATAGTGGAATGCCCATGGTTGTATGTCTTATCCACTGAATTTGATATATGATTGTCATTTCGTGATACCGAGTGATCCTGATATAGAATGGATGAGGAATGGATAAATGGCATGTGGTATAAATGGAGCAAGTCATATATACGATTGTGTTGACTGTTTGAACCACATCCAGTGTGACAGTGACGTTGAATACCACTTTTCACCGGATTTAGTAAGAACCTTTCCACCGTTTCATTCCCTTAGTCATATTACACAAAACACACAGCTCGGAAGAAAAGTGGATTAATCACATATGTGTATGGTGGTGGGTGTTTCGTCTAGAGTTGTGTACAAACTAGATTGTGTTTACTTTCCTACTCGACCAAATACTGTGGTGCTTCAAAGCTACGATTGCATTTTCTATTCTATAGAGAAAAATAAATACGAAACGAAAACTGTTTCTGTGAAAAACAAAAATAAGTGATGAATCTCATATATGTATTGAGATCATAGGTAATTCTCGTTTTAAAGTCAAACCAAGCGTCACTGCAAACAATATTAAGTACCGTTAAATATTTAAAATGTTTATTCAATACTCAGGCTCATCAAATATACATAAAAAGAGGCATGGTTACCCTGATCATAAAAGAGTATGTTTTAGTGGTTTTATTTATGAAATACTGTAGTAGTTGGATCTTACAGACATAATCTGCAACCAGCAGAGCAGTTCGTTGCAACTGGTTGCCTATATTCAGTTTTGTTACTTCTCTGTGATTGCACTGTAATTTGAGGTTGCATACACTTTATCATTTTGCCTTATTTATTGATATTTAGCACCAACAAAGAAAAATCTTAAACTGTTACAGCCTACTGTGAAATGAAAGTTTGAATACTCCCTTGGATGTTCCTCAAGAAAGCGTCATGGTTTCACTTTTTCAAAGAGAGATCCATTTTTCCCAAGGAAGCCTGCAGGAATGACTATAACCCTGACTCTAAGGGTCCGCTTTAGATGAGAAGGGCGGTGTAGGGCACTTTACTAAAAATTTGCTATCATTGAGGTACTTCAATGTACATACAGAAACATTGATTGCAGCAGTTTTTGGTTCAAGCTTCCTAATCAAGGTGCTGGTACATCGTACACAACTCGAAGGTGTGATCTTTATTAATATACCATAGTTACCATTAGTACATGTACTACATATAATATGTAATGTATCTCCAACGTCCACATAGAAGAACTCATGGCAAAAGATAGAGACAGAGAGAGTGCATACGAGCAGGAACGAAAAGAGAAAATACCTCGGAGGTTTCCTCGATATACGTAATGTTAGTTTTGACTCCGAGCGGCCACTTAACGTGGATCTGGTCCTTGTTAAGCTGCAGCAGGAACACCACTAACACGAACAGAGCGTTAAACATTAGGAACGCGAACACTGATTTGTTGCGGAGTTCGATTAGGTCTTTCGCTATCCTATCCTGGAATCCAAACAGAAATGCGGGGAGATTAAAGACCGATTCTAGCACAGTTTTTACCAGGGAGGAGGGTGTATCTTAATATGGAGGAAGCACTGTTTGGAGACCTAATATCTGGATGATATCTTTTCTTGCAACCACTTCCATGTTCACACACACTTGTCTCGTCTTCATACTGTCCACAACCCTTCACTGACACTGAATGAAAAAAGAGTTTTGGAATTTGATGTTTGGTTGAATTCATGCAAATATATCTACAGGGTGTGGCATAAAGAGTGTATAACCTTTAACCTGCAAATGAATATTAAAAAAATTGAAAATTGTGTCTAGTGAAAGTTGCACGGTTTTCAATTTTCGTGATTTTTTTCAAATTTCGAGGAAATGGACACCTTCACTCACTCATATGTTTTAAGTCTCGTGATAACACATGAAAGGTTTTTCTCATTCTTTTTTCAGCATAGTATTTTTGGATACATGTGTCATAAAATATAAATTGCCATTTTTGTGCTACAATATGATTTTTTCTTTAGGTTTGGCTACGTGAGGTGTCAATAATATTGCGGTAATCTAGCGAAACAAGACGTGAATAATTTGCCTAATTCATTGAGATTGCAAAATGATACAATACACCGTTTTCTGCTGTCAATTCAAATAATACCTACTCCTATTAAGGTTGGCTAAGGCCCGTATCGTCAGTCGTCCCTACAATTGTAGGGCGCGTTTATGGCCTCCTTGAATGTCATACTCCTTTCTCTCCTTCAAAAATTTCTGGATTACTCTTGTCCCGTGTCAGCGTCAGCGCTCTCCTATTGTGAAGATATGTTTTCTTTTAAAATTGTAGGAAATTTCAGGCTGATAAAACATGATATAACTCAAAAGCAAGCACAATTTGATGCAAATAGATGTTTGTTACATAACCTCAAAATAGAGCGCAGACACGGAGAAGTAGAAAACTATGACAATCAAGGAGGCCATAAAGGCGCCCTACAATAATTGTAGGGACGACTGACGATATGGGCCTAAGACTCCTATTTCTTCAAATACAACTTCTACTTGAATGACGAATATGGAGAAATCACATTTGCCTAGCTACTCGTTTGTTTTTGTTTGATGTCATAGTGACAGATCAAGTGTCAACACTCATTTATAAGAAGATGCAGTTCATGTATCAGAGTTCGTGGCGGTCATTTTGAGCACTTAGTATAACCTCTAATAATATGTTTATATCTAGCGAGTTTTCTGTTCTCTTCTCTTATTTTAATTAATTCTTACACCATGAAGTTAGTATCTTGTGTTAAATTCATATCCATCTGGTAGATTTAAAATGCAATATTACTAATACGTTTTGTAAACGTTGTAATAAATTTGAATATTTTGTGATCCTTTTTCTAATTTTGAAACGCGATGATTTATTATGATTTATTATGATTTATTATGATTTATTATGATTTATTATGATTTATTATGATTTATTATGATTTATTATGATTTATTATGATTTATTATGATTTATTATGATTTATTATGATTTATTATGATTTATTATGATTTATTATGATTTATTATGATTTATTATGATTTATTATGATTTATTATGATTTATTATGATTTATTATCATTTATTATCATTTATTATCATTTATTATCATTTATTATCATTTATTCTGATTATTATGATTTATTATGATTTATTATGATTATTATGATTTATTATGATTTATTATGATTTATTATGATTTATTATGATTTATTTGATTTATTATGCTTTATTATGATTATTATGATTTATTATGATTTCTTATGATTATTATAATTTATTATGATTTATTATGATTCTTATTGATTTTAGTATGATTTTATTATTGATTTATTATGATTTATCAGCTATCTTCAATAGGAAGTATCCTTTGAATGACAGCAGGAAATACGTGTAATGTACCATTTTGCATTCTCAATGAATTAGGCAAATTATTCACGCCTTGTTTCACTAGTTACCACGATATTATGCACACGTGGTCAACTCACGAGGAAAAAAATTGTTTCCAATTTTGAAGGCACATGTATCAAGGAATACTTATATTGAAGAAAGAATGAGAAAAAATCTTCATGTTTTATCACTAGACGTGCGTGTAGAACCAATTCCTAAAAATTTGAAAAACGTTCAAAAACTTGAAAACCGTGCAACTTTTACTAGACACAATTTTAAATTTTTTGGATCGTTATGATGTCCTCTAACTGTAGGTTAAAGGTTATCCACTCTTTACGCCACACCCTGTATATAGCTTAACTACACATTTCTATGAAACATAATGAATATAGACCTGAGCTACCTGAATTGTGTTTATTGCCCCGTTAGATCTACTTTTAAAATGCATACAAGATTCAGTTTAACATTTTCTAGTAACTTGAAAGAGGTTGCTCAGGGCAGGATCGACATTATCAAAATTTAATGCAAACAACGGCAGACGCTCAGCTGTCACAGGACTCCGTTTTAGCCGCAATAATGTTTTTCACAGGATTAAGTTTTTTTATACTACCCAGTTTGACAATGTTGGCTTTGTACCATGTTGGTGTCATTTTCTAAGTCCATACACCAACTTGACTATCAAAAAATCGGCACAATTTTAGGAAAAATGTAATAACCTGTTTTACAGCGGAATTATATTATTGAGGGTATATGAAAAAGCCTCTCATCAAGAGATACAACAAATTTTGCTGGATAATTTTTTATTAATCAAAATGTGTAAAACTGAAGCTGTAGGGGGATGCAAATACGTTTAAAATGAGATCTTACATGGCCAATTTGATACATATAACGGTTCATTTGTTGTGATACGAGGGATGTCTTTTAAGTTTTGCATATAGAAACATAGTAGGCCGCGCGGATCGAACGTCAGTACTGAATCTTAACCTCACTCTTTAGTATACTTAAATTCAAAGTTTCACAACAATACGTGCAGTGTTCTCACTACAGTGAATTCTTGAGTGTCACCAAGTCATTAGAAAAATGGAACTCAACCGAGAACATTTTCGCGCCATAATTTATTACAACTTTCAGAGACAATTATCGCAACAAGAATGCCTTGCTGAGTTACTGTCTGTTTCCTTTACTTTCCCGAAAATTAAAAACAGACTGCGTGGTCAAAGGTCCAGAAGCATTTGACGCATTAAAAAATGCCGTTTTGGATCTGCCAGCAAAAAACAATAAAGCCATTTAAAACTACCTACCGTGTTGTTTTATTTCCATATGCAAAACTTAAAAGACATCCCTCGTATCTCAAATAAAATCCGTATAAAATACTACTTTGAAAATATGCTTGTTTTAGAAAATGTTGATACTGAAAATTGTGTACAGAATCTCACCTTAATTCAAGACCAATGCTTATACAATCTTTTCATGTATGTTATATTTGGATGTATTTGCTACTCCAATTGCGACTGTTTTTGAAACGCTCTTTATAATAAAGTATGAACGAATGTCTATTTTACTTCTCTCGGCAATGCACATGTGTATTGTTATCGCGAAAAATGTTCAGATGTCTAGCAGTTGGTAAACTTAGCGGGCCAGTACTCAAACGACAAACTTGTTTTGTTATTTCCAAAACCAAACGTTTTCTCCATCCACTCTCACACCCACAAGCACACTTAGCAGCGAAAGCGAGATAGAACGACGCGACGATGTCGAATGTCGTTGCAAAAGCTGCTCCTCTCGGTTACCTCCTGGGTACTCTCGTCATAGGTGATGTTCGTCTTCACGCCGAATGGCCATTTCACGTGCAAGTAGTCCTTCTTTAGGGTCAGCAGGAAGACGATCAGTACGAAAAGGGCGTTCATCATGAAGAACGCGAACACGGATTGGTCCCTCAGTTCCTTCAGGTCGGATGCTATACGTGCCTAAAAGGGGGAGGGACGAAGGAGGGCATTGTGGGTTAGATACGATTCAGATTAAAATATTGCTCTGATACTGTCATTGTTGTATTTCGATAATCAATATTGCTTTCAGGATTGCAGGTGACATCCATTTTTTTCAAACTTCATTATTAGAAATGTTGTCGCATTACATGTCGAACCGTTTGGAACCGACTGAGTATGCGCAGTAGAGAGTTTCCGGCATGCGAGATCGCACAAGATCTTGTTTTGTTATGGGACTGTGGTTGGTGAGTTTGCGACGTACTGTATTGTCTAGTCTACTAAAAATACTAGTTAAAGAACTCACCTTTATCACGAGAATTTTCAAAGAACTAGATCATTTTAATTAATATCGCTGGACGGCAAACGTATATAAGACAGTGACACATCCCTGGAAATATTGGTGAGACGAACAGCACAATCTGCACCATTTTCAAGCATTTTAAATTTACTACCAAAGGAAACTGTCAAGCTGTGTCAACTTCAGGACCAATAAAAGTAATATTTCAACTGTGGCTTCACGCTATACTGAGTGTTGCTGCTGCTGAGTTGATATATATGCATGATGCCGAAGAAAAAAGTTAAAAACCAGATCTCAACGGAAAAATCAGATACAATGGAAGTTTACATTGATGGAAACTTGGACACTCAGAAGATTCTAGAAGAAAATAAACACTTAAAACAGATATTAGAAGAAAAGGATAAACTAATACTACAGTTGAGCAATGAAAATGGAAGACTACAAGAACAGTACAATTTAGCGACATCAGCCATACACGAAAAAGGTACCGTTGAAACAATGATAAATAAAATAAATCAAAGATTGACTGAAATTGAGAAAATTAAAGAGAAATCATATGCCCAAGTACTAAAGCGAGATACTCCAACAATCAAGAAAGACCCAATGAAGAACATAATTGTCACACCAAATGGTATCCAAACATCTGAACAAACGAGAAAAGACCTTAACAAAAAAATTAGCCTTACGGATTTGAAAATACAAATAGAAAATATACGAAATTCTAAAAATGGAGGAATTATAATTAAACTGGCTGAGGAACACCACAACACACTCAAAACTGAATTCGAAAAGAAATTAGGAGATGAATACAAAATCACAGAACCTACAATGTTTAGACCGAAGATCAAAATTGTCAATTATAGATGCACGGAGAAACCACATGAAGAAGACATAGAATTAGATCTTATCCAACAAAATCATTTTATTGAAAAAGATGACATCAAAATCAAATATGTAAAGTATCTCCCATCGAAAAAATGTTACACATTATTTGCAGACATTTCTGGCAAATTATTCAGGACAATATTTGAAGATAACAATGGAAAAATTCTTCTTGGATGGCAATGTTTACCAGTGTATGATAATAACGAAATAACGCAATGCAAGAAGTGTCTTCGCTTCAATCACACCGAGAAAAAATGCCGCAATAACAAGACCTGTACCAACTGCAGCAAAGAGGATGTACACGATACTGACTGTTGTAAGCATGAACCGGTTGTATGTTGTAATTGCAAATTTTCAAACTATAGATATAACAAAAATTATAGTACCAACCACTCACCATTAGATAAAAAATGTCCAACTTTTCTATATTATCAACAGCAGTACAACTTGAAAATCCTTTTTTAAGAAAGAAGAAACTTTAGCCAACATTTTAGAATATTGCATCATTCATGACACACGACTATGTAAATAACTTCCAAATTCAACGTATTAGTACTAATACTGCTCATGATACTAGCGAGCTAGATTCTTTTTTACAAAATCCTGAAATATCTGTTAGAATTTATCATATGAACATCAGAAGTATAAAACATAACTTTGACTACTTTAAATTAATTTTGAAAAGAATACAAAGTGATATAGATATAATCATTCTATCCGAAACATGGCAAGTGGGCGATGTGACTCTGTTTCATTTAGAAGGGTACGATACATTGTATAATTTTGGTAACCATAATCAAAACGATGGAGTGATGGTGTATGTACGAAACAATCTGCCTTATAAACATACCATATTTACAATCAACAATGAACTAAAAGGTATCAATCTAACAATGCAAATTGAAAATCGTAGAGTCAAAATTACTTGTGTTTACCGACCACCATCTTCAGATCCTCATACATTTATAAGAGACATAGATGAACTATTAAAAAACAATGAAAACAATCACCTTCATAATCAAATATTTATAGGCGACATCAATATAAACATTTTAGAGGAAAATTCTATGGTGAAAGAATATTTAAACATTTTATCAAGTAATGGCTTTTTATCATACATAAATAAAGTAACACGACCCACCAGTAAAACCTGCATTGATCACTGCTTTATAAAGGATATTTCCAATATTTTTTCTTACATACCTATTATCTATGAAACCGATATTACAGATCATTATTCCACTGTATTATTGATATCTTCACAAAATAAAAACCAGAACTGCCCAAGGACAAAAAATGAAAGGAACCTTGAATACAAATATTTCACTGACAACTCAAAATTAATATTTAACGCACAAACGGAATCGTGGGACGAAATTTTTTTAACAAATTCTTTAGACGAAGCTACAAATTTATTAATACACAAAATTCAAAAAGTAATTGCAGTTAGTACTAATAAGGTTAAAATAAGTCACAAGGAAAAAAGCAGAAATGATTGGATGACCAAAGGACTAATAAAATCTGCAAACGAAAAAGAAAAACTGTATAAAATCATGAAATATTTACCCACGAAAGAAAATATAGATCATTATAATCAGTATAAAAACAAATTTATAGAACTTTTGAGAAAAGCAAAAAAAAATTACTATATAAAACAATTGAATAATAATTCACATGACTCTAGACACCTATGGTCCACTGTCAATGATATATTCAATAAGTCATCCTATTCAAAAAACAATATTAATGAAATAAAAACAAAAACAGGACAGAAAACAGACAATATTCAGCAAATATGTGATGAGTTCATAGAATTTTTCACGAATATAGGAGGAAACTTAGCAAATAATATCAAACAAAATGCTGATATTCATCTGCATGAAACAAGACTGAATAATTCATTTGTATTAACTGAAGTAGACTATCAGGATGTTTTCAATGCCATTATGACTCTAAAAAATAAAAAAAGCCCTGGAGTTGACGAAATTAGAGCTGAACATCTAAAGATACTGGCCAAACAAATAACAGAACCACTTGCTTATATCATTAACAAATCCTTCCAATCTGGAGTATTTCCATCAGCTTTCAAGACAGCAATCATCATACCTATCTATAAATCTAATGATAATACGGACGTCACTAACTATCGACCTATTTCACTTATATCAAGTTTAGCTAAAGTTTTTGAGAAATTACTCCTTAATAAAATGATTAATTTTCTTAATAAATTCAAAATTCTAAATTCAAATCAATATGGTTTTATAGCAGGCAAATCTACAACAGATGGGGTATTAAGTATAGTAGATGAAATAACCCAAAATATAGATGGAAAAGTGCCATCGATATGCGTATTTGTGGACTTACAAAAAGCGTTTGACACAGTTAACCACAATATACTTTTGAAAATCTTAGAAAGAATAGGTTTTCGTGGAAAGATGTATACTTTAATGGAAAATTATTTATCAAATAGACCGCAATCAGTAAAATTATTAAGCTCGTATAGTAAAGAAATGTTTGTTAAATGTGGTGTTCCACAAGGTACAATTTTGGGTCCTCTGTTATTCAATATTTATTTAAACGATATATTCAAAATTAACAGTACTGGTAAAATAGTCAGTTTTGCAGACGATACTGCTATACTCTATAAAGGTAAGGATTGGAACGACTTAAAAGATATTATCCAAAATGACTTTTGCAAAATTATTCAGTGGTTTAATAACCGGAAATTAACAATTAACTTTACTAAAACTCATTTTTTACCATTTTCATCACTATCTAATCATCTACCAAAATATAACCACCTTCGGTTTAAGGTAAATGATAAAAATATAAAAATCAATAGAGTTAATGATACAAAATATTTAGGAATTTATCTAGATCCCCACTTGAGATGGGATGTACATATTTCTCACATACTAAAGAAAATTAGATTCATAGCATATAAAATAAAATTTCTAACCGGTATATTAACTGAATATTATCTACGAATAATATATCAAGCTTTAATCGAGCCACACATAAAATATGGTATAGTAGTGTGGGGTGCTGCATGCACGACATACTTTAACGATTTAGATGTACTTCAAAGAAGAATTTTAAAATCAATGTTAGGCAAATCAAAATTATACCCAACTAATGACTTATATAATGATGCACAAGTATATGATACTAAACAACTTTACTTCTTACATACCATCACTCATTATCACAAAACTATTAGTGAACACGACATAATTAAACATAATCATAAAACCAGATATAAATTACGCGCAAAAAATGTTCCTAAACCAAACAAATCCCTAATGAAACGATGTCACCTGTATATAGCTCCAAAATTGTACGAACATTTACCAAATAATTTAAAACAATTACGCAATACATTAGGCTTCAAAAAAAAATTAAAAAAATTTATTAACACGATTGGGAGAAATCAAATTAATAAAATAATCTCAAGTATTACACAATAAATGCTCTACCATTCTTACCAATAATTTCTTTGTTCTCTCTATTTTATTATATTTTGCAATTCAACATACATATGATCCATGCACAGGCATTGTCCTCCTATGGATATATTATATTTATTTACTCGTTTCATGTTCCCTGTATTTTAGAGTAAATAAATATTATTATTATTATTATTATTATTTCTTAAGGCGCGCGATTCCACTGAGGTAACTTTTGGGCGATATGTAGCATACGGCATCGACTCATGCGGCACACTATCTTTCCACAGAGGCAACGCAAAACGACAAAATATATTTCTCCTTGTCGCTTGCCACAAGTTGCCCGTTCTGGCAACACTGTCGAACGTCAACAAGAGGCAACGCTATTCCTTCAGTTGAATCCCACCTTTAGTTTCGTTGCAACTTTTAATGGTTCAGTCAACAACACTAATTTTTCGGTGGTTCACAGGATATGAAACATCATCATTTTTTGATGGGCCAGACTTGATATAACGATTGGTTATTTATTGTGCATAATAAGACGTTCAAACGAGTTTAAAAACTTTGTATATCTGGACCTGTAATTCACTGGCCTTAAATGAGGAAAGGACCAGATAATTTCATCATCAAATACTATCAATTCAAACGTATTGTGACAGAAAAATGTGTTGTAGCAGAATCAAGTTGGAAACTAGTTTTTTTAATAACGCATGCGCGTTGAAAGAGTTCTCAATCGGGTGTCAAACCGTTGGAAATATCATACTAGAACATTACTATTCTAAAATATCCATACCCATATACTAGGCAATAATGTCTGGAAAAAGCGTATCTTGAACTTCAATGACAGTATCAGAAGCTCTAGTAGTCATAGTAGTGGTACAAAAACTAGGGAAATGGTGTCAGGTTTTCACGAAGCATTTGAGAGCAACATGACTTAGTAAAAAAGAGTAATTCAGATAGTATCATTTTAGTTTAGTTCTTACAAACAGAAGCAAATCACTTTCCATGTTACTCTAGCCGATAATCAAAATTACAGGCGTATGCAAAAGACCTTTAGTAGTAAATCGTGTTCTATAAAAAATTTTAACCGTCAAGAGCGACAACATCCATTACATGTAACCTTGGTGGAGGATTAAATTCGTTACTTTTATTTGGTAGATTTCAAGTTTACGCTTCCATTCGAGCAAATGCATAAATCAAAATGATCGCCTTGATAATACCAATTTGAATTTATCATTAGAAAGCATTACTCTTAGATATCAACAAAACAATATCTATGAACTTAGAATTTTTGTTGATTTTGTAACGAATGTCCTCAGTTGTTTTGTACATTAAATGGACCTGCCTGTATATTTATCCTGTTTCAATCTGGACACAGATAGGTAAAAGTTTATTATTCTTCTTAGAGAAAATGCACTTCCTGTGCTACCGTAATTCTCTTCTAAATTACATAATACACCAAATGTAATTATTACTATGGGTTACTTCCAAAATTTTAGGCGATGGTTTTTTTAACTATTCTGATCCCGGTTTCCTTTTTGCCGGTCCAAAAAAAATTGCTTCGTTTCGAAGAACATATGAAAATCGTCATAGGTCAAATAATCAGCCTATACATTTTTGCTATGTGTTTGGAAACACCACTGCATAATGATATGAAAGTGGTGAGACATTTTTAGCTAATTTAAAATAATTTCTTATTCGTAGATCTGTTAAATATTTCCAATGGATCCTACTTCACCTTGCACTAACTGGCTTTTGATATATGGGCGCCCTTGCATGTGATACGTGAACTACAACAAAATAATTCAGTGTCATGGTTTCCTCATTGAGGTATGCCATTATAATTACGATGCGGTTATACTGCTTTTTAAACAGATAATTATGGTAATCCAGCTTTGTGTCAAATCTATTTCAAAACGCACTTATTCTCTAGGCGCTGAAGAAAGAAACTAAACCCAAACAAATACACGCATATTGCTCGTGAGTGAGTGTTTAGGCGCAGGAGACATTACAGGACCGCATCAAGATATTATGGGTAGTCATCAAAAATTTCATACAAGATAATTATTATCTTTTACAGTAAATTTCAGTTAGAGATTCACAAATGAGTTAACTACACTTTTTAGTTACTAGTAAGTAAGCTGCGCGCACTCATTCAGAAGAGGAACTTGAATCTTCTGAATCGTTTAAATAAATTATTAGAGGTTCAATTTGGGTATCGATGACATTGTCCAAATCCCACATTTTGACCTCAACCTTCTCCCGAACGTGGCGGATACAGTTTTTTCATTCCTCTGCCGTAACTCTATTGACTGCGATGTGAAAGAGATTTTTAACATCAGAAAATTAATAAGTATTATTATTCGACGCCACGTATTGCTTTATGTTGGCCCAAATCAGCTCAATAGGGTTCAGCTCACAATGGTAGGGTGGCAGTCTCAAGACAGTTTTATTTTGTTTTTTGGCCATTTCGTCGATCATTTTAAAATCGTATGTGTATTTATGTCTATTGACTATACTTATCAATTCACCCTTGACCATTGTTTCATCAAAATCGATCTGTTTTGAGGCCAGCCATTGTTGTGGTGTTTGCTTTTTTAGTTGGCATTGTGGGAATTTTTTCTATTTTTCTAGAATGGTACGGGGCATTATCCAGTACAATAACAGCGTTATTCTCCAGCTTTAGTAACATTTTGGAGAACCAATTTTCAAAGGAATTGCCGTCCATCTCCTCATGATAGTCCCCTGTCTTTTTTGATTCAAAGGCCCACAGTGCTTCGGGAACAAAGCCGTCTTCACTACCTACGTGACAAATGATCAGCCGTTTGCCTTTTCCTGGAAATAAATTATTCCTTACACTATGGATTGATTAAATTTGAAGGAATGAGGCAATTGAGTTCATTTAGCTGAATTTAAGAGTCACGGAATGCTGATCAAAAACTGAAAAACGTAGAAAATTGAAGTTTGCAACTTCTCAAAACCCATTCAAAGCAAATTTACTGCACCCAAAAATGATAATAAATTTCAAAATAACGCTTAAAAGAGGGTCGAAGTTTTTTTCCTAATGACTACACTACGAATGCACCATTTTTGGAGAATATCACACGTTATCTGCTATCACAGCATATTATTTGCCCGAATTTATCAAAATTAAATTGCCGGATAGATGAAGGAGCTTACCTGCAGGATTTTTCAATCCAGCCGAAAGACCGTCTAGAAAAGCCTGCCTTGATGATGTTACTGATTTGTCGACCCAAACTTTCGCTTGAGTATGCCCAGCATTCACCCACGTTTCGTCCAAATAGTAAATTTTTCTTTATCATCGCGAAACTTCCGAATCTTCCTAAGGTATTCCCTTCTCCACACAACAATTTCTTCTTTCTCTATTAACATACTGTTTCTTCCCCGTTTCAAGAATCGAAAATTAAGTTCCTTCAAAAGTTTTCGGAATGTGGTTCTTTTAAATGATGGAAGATCCTCATCAGCATTAACTAATCTTAATATCTTATCTACTGTAGGTATCTCATTTCGGAAGAAAAAATTATGCACTTTCCTCCTGATGGCAGTTCTGTCATAGTCATCTACTCCGTCCGTTATCCTTTTTCTTGCAGGATACGGTTTTGGCTCAGAAAGTGAGTGAATGCTCCTATATTCCTTAATGATCCTATAAACACTGGACCGACATACTCCAGAAATATGTGCTACCTTACGTATAACTTCGTCCACGACCAAATCGGGTTTTTCTTGAATTTGGTTTTTGTATATATTTAATATTATTTGTTTTTCATTTGCACTTAAATGTAGCTTCTTAGCCCTTTTTTTGGGTGGGGTTGCGCTGATGTCAACCACTTCGTCGGCTGTATCTGTGTCAGACATCGTATCTTAGGCAATATATAAACAAAACGTTCCACTCGCGAAAAACGAGTATACGCTACTGAATGCGTAATGCGTATGCAATGCAATCCTGTGCGTGAATTAACTGTTAGATGCCTGTCGTGTCATCTACAATCACGTTTACAAGTCCAAACCTGTGCAGATTCGTAGAGCGCCGACGACTGCTAGTGACCTTGAATTTGTTTGTAGATCGATGTTACTCCAGTCAATTTAGGTTCAAAGTGGATGTTTTCTAAACCAATTTGTTGTTCCTACATAAAAAATATATCGATGATGTTTTGTACTGGGAGCTCATGAAAGATCAAGGTAACTTATTTTAACAGTCATCCTTTTTCTAGTCTCAAGATGACACGAAAAAGGGTCTGTGGATTCACTAGAAATACACTGCCGAGGATGTTTAGACCTAAAGTGACTGGAGTATATCCGTGGATGCTTTCGAGGGATCTGTTCACGTGCTGATCACTGTTTACGTTTAATGTCTTTCTTCAGCGCCCAGAGTATAGGTAAACTTAATACCTACTGAATATTTCTCGTTTCCTAGTTAACTAATGGACATATAATAGCAATAACAGAAATAATTATTTTAAACACCTATTTTTAAACCGAATTGGCTAAGTGCTAGAATTACGTACAGGTATAAGATCAAAGTGATTGTCAATTACATTAAATACTTTTACTGAATACAATATCTAAATATAGTTTTGACTTGACTTCGAGCCAAAAAGTGGTTCAAATCTTACAATCGCTGCTCGTGTTTAAAAATTCGTCTCAAACATCAGACACCTTACCTTTTCTTCCTTGTTCTCGTCCAACGGATACAGATACTTCTCGAGGAGATCCTTCCAGAACGACAACTCATTACTGTTCAGGTATTCGACCTCACCCTTGCCTACGTCAGGGTCTTCGATCCAATAGGGGTTGACCAGTTCATCCCTTTTGGGTCTTGGCGGTCCAGCGAGTGACGCTGTGGTGTCATCGTCAGACTCGGAAACCGAAGCGTCGTTTTCGTGTTCCTCGGTGAGAGGTTTGAGGTCGGGATGACCTCCACCGTGACGTGAGGAAGCTGACATCGAACGCCTGCGCGAGTGGTGTCCACTCGGATCAATGACTCTGTAAAAGCATTTTAAGTTGAACCGGATCTTGAGAGTATCCTTGATTATAATAATAATTTTGATTGGCAAATATAATACTATAGCGTTTTTCTGGGTTTGGTTTGGATGTAGATTAAAACACTGGATTCTACAAAAAGAAATGCACTAATTTATTTAACTTGATAGATAATTCATATACACCACTATTTATGTCTGACTAATTCTTATGTCGCCATTGACTGCACTATACTCCGCTATGCTGTATATACAGGGTCTCCCAGAAGTCGACGTCAAGCCGAAACCGGGTGATAGGCAAAGCCATAACAGCTATCAGAAAAATATTTAAAAAAATTTTATGTATGTGTTTTGAAAATTATAGGTCTTTGAAAAAAATACAGAAATTTCACACCCTACGGCAGTCTGTCAACTCCTGTTACTACAAATATTAACTTTTTTTGGATTTTATTTTTACAATGTAATGATGAATAATGCATCTTCAAACTGGTGTCTCAACCTTACTGCCAACTTTTCTCGTTCGGGAAAAATTGCCACTTATTTCCCAACCAAGTATTCCAAAGTAAAACTTTGCTCAACTTTAACTGGCTGTACTGGAAAAAAATGTACTACGAGAGTTTGGCAAGTAACCTTAAAAGTTGGCGCATTTAATAAGGATTGAAAAATGGTATAACACTTAGAAGATTACTCGTTAACTTATGCACAATTTTTATTTGAAGAAAAACTGATGAAAATTTTTCAAAATTTCCTAATTAAACAGCGATTATGAAAACGCACAAGGACCCTTAAGGATAACTGTTTGCACAACAGTGGGCATCAAAATGCTGCTGATGATAATTCACCTTTACAGCAAATGCTCAAACTGTTTTCCTTCAGCCGCAATACACGCTCGACATCTTCTTAAAAAAGATCGGGTTATTAAACGAGCGAATCCACGCTTATTAACAAACTCAGCTGCTTCCAATAGTCTTTGCCGTAGCTCAGCTACATTTTGAATCGGCTTGAAATACACCTTTCCTTTTACAGTTCCCCAGTAAAAAAAATCTAACGGATTCAAATCTGGTAACCGGGCTGGCCACGGTATTGTACCAGACCGCCCTATCCATCTGCCTGGAAAGTTTTGATCGAGATACTCTCTCACTGAGAGTGCATAGTGCGCTGGGCAGCCATCATGCTGAAACCACATGTCCCTGTAAATACTCAGTGGTACGTCCTCCAATAAATTTTCTAAATGATTTTGCAAAAAACCTCAGCAGTCCAAGTCTCTGGGAACTCATTATTTTACCATTTAAAATTCCTGTCCAATGGTTTATCTTGAAGCGATATTGAGATTTATCTTCTCTCATCAAATATGGGTTTGCTACGTGCCACTTGTGTAAGTTATGCAGGTTCATGTACCCATCTTTCTTAAATGTGGTCTCATCTGACCATAAAATTTTTTCAAAGAACCGTGGATCTTCCCTGTGTCTTTCTAACATTGTGCGACAAAAAGCAACTCGGGGCTCATAATCCCGGGGCAGAAGAGCTTGAACACGCTGTACGTGGTATGGATGGAGCACGTTCTTTTGCAAGATTCTATGGGCTGTAATTTTGGGCACACCTGTTTTTAGTTCTATTGCACGCACTGAAGTACTCGGGTCTTCTTCGACAGCTCCTAGCATCACGTCTTCGTAAGGAAAGAAATATCTTCCCTCACCGTGTGATTGGTTTGGTAGTTGGCCCTCTGAGAACAGTAAGCGGTGCACATTTGTGAACACTCAATGATCTGGATGACGAGCTGCATTCGGGTACCTCTCACAGTTAAGTCTCGCTGCAGCACTAGCGTTGCATCTGCATTCCCCATAAATGAGGTGCATGTTAGCATATTCTTGTACGGTGTACACGGACATAGCGGCACTGCACAATCACACTATCAAAGATAGTCTAAGGAAGGCAAATGTTGTTTTGAAGAGCAATTAAACAGTCCAAATCCAAATCACAAGCGATCAACAGTCCAGTTCACGAATCCAAAATTAGTAACAGTACGAAATCAACAAGCACGAACATGTAAAGATGCGCAGTAAACGAAGGAGTACTGATCGGTATCAAAGTGTGCAATAGCAAGTAAGTGATGTGCTTCATCCATACCACATACAGCGTGTTCAACCTCTCCTGCCCCGGGATAATGAGCCCCGAGTTGCTTTTTGTCGCACAGTGTTAGAAAGACACAGGAAAGATGCACAGTTCTTTGAAAAAATTTTATGGTCGGATGAGACCACATTTAAGAAAGATGGGTACATGAACCTGCATAACTTATACGAGTGGAACGTAGCAAACTCACATTTGATGAGAGAAGATAAATCTCAATATCGCTTCAAGATAAACCATTGGACAGGAATTTTAAATGGTAAAATAATCGGTCCGTTTGAGTTTCCAGAGACTTTGACTGCTGAAGTTTATTTGGATTTTTTGAAAAATCATGTACAAAATTTATCGGTGGACGTGCCACTGAGTATTTACAGCGACATGTGGTTTCAGCATGATGGCTGCCCAGCGCACTATGCACTCCCAGTGAGAGAGTATCTCGATCAAAACTTTCCAGGCAGATGGATAAGGCGGTCTGGTACAATACCGTGGCCAGCCCGATCACCTGATTTGAATCCTTTAGATTGTTTTACTGGGGAACTGTAAAAGAAAAAGTGTATTTCAAGCCGATTCAAAATGTAGCTGAGCTACGGCAAAGACTATTGGAAGCAGCTGAGTTTGTTAATAACCGTGGATTCGCTCGTTTAATAACCCGATCTTTTTTAAGAAGATGTCGAGCGTGTATTGCGGCTGAAGGAAAACAGTTTGAGCATTTGCTGTAAAGGTAAATCACCATCAGCAGCATTTTGACGCCCACTGTTGTGCAAACAGTTATCCTTAAGGGTCCTTGTGCGTTTTCATAATCGCTGTTTAATTAGGAAATTTTGAAAAATTTTCATCAGTTTTTTTTTATATATATATATATATATAGCTATATATATATATAGTAACTTGAGTTACTCGGAATAACTCAGCAGTGCTTAGCACCCAAATTGTTCCACTGCATTTTATATTCCCATATATACAATTTCTAGAGCAGTTCAGGAGAATATCACTCTCAAACAAAAAACCACTCTAAAGCAGCTTATGAATCCAATAATACTTAATAAGTTTTTTTTTTCAGGGGAATGGATTTGCAAGATATAGAAGAGGTCTAGAATATGTTTAATGATACTTTTCTGGTAATTCAACCGACCATTACATCTAGAATGGGTTTTCTTTATAAACCCAGAAAAGCATTGCTACAGATTTTGCTAAAATAACCAATGAAGCATACACTAGTAATATTTATTAGATTAATGCTTCAAAATATGTTGTTCAATATGTTCATTTTCGAAAAATATCAGTTCTTTCATCAAAATATAAAAAATATTTATAAACCTTTCCACGTGTATTTTCTAAATGCTTGGGAAAAATATCGTGAAAATATATAAATTATATAGGTATACCTCAAATATTTAAAATGAAATTTTTAAGAATATATAAAAAATTATTTGTTACATAAGTATTCAGAAATCTGTCGCTGCAAAGATTTATGCAAATATTTAAAAAAAAAATATTTAATAAATATTTCATGCTATTGGAGTAAATGTGCTTAAAGCATTTCGAAATCGAACCAGTTCTGCAACGGTTTTTGTTGGTTGTTAGATGAAACATACTTTTTTGATCAGCTTTGGGGGTACCTAAAAATGTTTAAGGCATACCATCAACTGAGCCGACTGTTGCAGTTTATTTTTTATTATTGTGATCGAGACGAGAATACATGTACGGTGTCTAGTAGAAAGTTTTTTGAACCAGAAGCCAAATTAAATACAGTGTTTACCTTTCGATATGATCTAGCCTCTTAGACAAGCTATCCAACGAGTCGGCGATGTGCATAAGTTGTGCCTTCTCATCTCCAGATTTCTGGTGTGTACAAAACATACACCTGAACAGTCCAGCAAGTGATACTTCTATGCTGCCCTCATCGTCTTCATTGGTGCCTCCACTCTGCAGGAATCCCAAAAGACTCTTTTGTTTCACGGTCTTCTTTGCCTGCTCTGCAGCTTTACGCTCCTCCTCTAACTCCTAAAATAAGGATATTAACAACCAACTTGAAGCTAAAGATCGGCCGATATAGGATGTTTGCCGATATCGTATTTCGAAACGTCAGAACGTACCTTCTTTGTTTTCTTAGTTGCCACTTCTCTAGTTCCCCACGATACGTTGTTCAAGTTGATGATGGAGTACAAAATCAGCAGTAGGTACATAGCAGGAATGGATAGTAGATAGATAATACCGGGGACGATGCACCAGAATTCTTGCGGATGGAGACAGGCTGCTATAAAGAAGGAGCCTGTCATGGCTATCAGGAAAATCGCCGATGGTGAACCTACTCCGTCTTCCCGTAACTGCAAAGCAGTACCGACTATCACTGCCATCATCACCAGGGCATAACCGGTGGAGAGGATTTGGGCGGCTAGCAGCTGAAATAAAAATGGAGTCAAGAAGATTCATTCGGAAGTTGTCATATATAAATCGTGCCTCAGTTGAAATGGCCCGATTTGAAAGATTCTTATCAGTGTCGAATGGTCAAAACACGTCTTTTAGGGTAGTGACCGTGACACTTCAAATAATAATATTGGTGTAGATGGTATCAAAGCTGACCATTTAAAAATAATAGCCTACGACTTAGCCGAACCACTTTCTTACGTCATTAATTGGTGTTTCCAATCTGGAATTTGTCCTGATGCATTTAAAACAACTGTTATTACTCCTGTTTATAAAAGCGGTCACAGAATGGAAACATCAAATTATAGACCCATATCAGTACTATCGAATATAGCCAAAAATTTTCGAAAAATTACTACAAAAAAGGATGTTACAATTTTTGGACAAAAACAAAATTATATGTTCTGACCAATATGGATTTAGAAAAGGAAAATTTACTACAGATGCAATTTTGGCTGCAATGGATGAAATTAACTCTAATGTCAACAAAAAGATACCTACTATTGGTATCTCTGTTGATCTAAAAAATGTCTTTGATACGGTTAACCATGTCGAGCTTCTGAAAGTTATGGAAAGATTGGGATTTAGGGGAGCGTCACAAATCCTTTTAAAAAATTACCTTTCAAGTCGGGCACAGACTGTCAAAATCACTAACACTTACAGTAAAAAAATGTACATCAAGTGTGGTGTGCCTCAAGGAACAGTACTAGGCCCACTATTATTTAGTCTCTACTTAAATGACTTATTCAAAACTAACAGTTCTGGAAAGATTATGTTTTGCAGATGACACCCTCGTATTATATAAAGCTGATGACTGGAGCACACTGAAGCAAATAGCTGAACAGGATTTTATAAGGATCATTGACTGGTTTGATACTAAAATTTTAACAGTTAACTTCAAAAAAACAAAATTTATTGCATTTAGATCCTATTCAAAATTTTTACCTACCTTCGAACAAATTTCCGTTAATTATCATGGCCAAAGGACCAAAATCGATAGAGTTAACACTTTGAAATATCTTGGAATATTTATAGACTCACATCTAAGGTGGGATAACCATATTAAATATGTTATCAAAAAAATTAGAAATGTTGCCTATAAACTCAAAATGCTTGCTAACATTCTTACAGAAAGTTATCTGCGAATCCTATACCATGCCTTAGTTGAAACCCATATAATATACGGCATCACAGCCTGGGGTGCCGCCTGCAAGACATATATTTCTGACCTGAATATAGCACAAAAAACTGTTTTGAAAGCCATTTTCCATAAGCCAAGATTATATCCAACGAACAACTTATATCAAGAAACAGGGATACTTGATACAAGACAACTTTATTTCTTACATGCCACCACCTTATACCATAAGTATTGTAATAAAAAGAAAAAATCCTATAAACACGAGCATAACACACGATTTCGAATAGGCTCATCTAATATCTAAAGACCACACAAAACATTATTCAAAAAATCATTTAAATTCTTAGCAGCTAAATTATATAATGTAGTACCAAACGCAATAAAGATACTTAATTTTGGAAAAAAATTTAGAAGAAAATTGAAAGACTGGGTTCGTAATGTGCAGCGAATGACTATACATAATTATATAGAAAACTAAAACTACAAAATTCCAATTACATTAAGACCTTTTAGATTTGACAATTATTGTTATACACATATATGATTGATTGTTAGTTATTAAGATATAAACCACACACAGGCGATGCCTTCTGTGGTTTTTTCATATTTATTTGCCCATTTCTTGTATTTTGGCGAATAAATATTATTATTATTATTATTATTATTATTATTATTATTATTATTATTATTATTATTAAGAGCCTGCACTCAATGCTCGCTCTGTAGTTTTGATAGGTAGGAGACCAGATGGCAGATAGGAGGCTTAATGTTGCGATGTCAGCAATAGCCTAAACTACCCAAATCTTTAAAAGTCGAGGTCCGCTCAAGCAGGCTACCATCAATGTCATAATTCTCTTATACTACTGTTCGTCATTATTCGTCAGAGCGGTCCGGTGGACCTTTGCTCTTAGTTAAAAGTCTCGTCGGTCTGTTAGCCTGTCAGGTCTGGCTACCCAGATACCAAACATGTTTAAGGGGAAAACGGAAAGAAGGAAAGAAAGGAAGGAATAAATAGAGCAAAGAAAAGAAGTACATCATTTGAAATAGCTGAAGCATTATTGCTTTGACTACTCGAATTATTTTGTAACTTTAAAAAATAATTTTGATCCGTTTTGTTTACTGAAATAATTTTGTCTGGTCTGAATTTACAATTTAATTTTGATCACAGTGTCAGGCGCGGCCTGGAATGTTCGACTGTGTAGTCTACTGAATCAAGCAACAGATGGTTGCTGTGCGATTCCGCTTGATTATAACGCCGCTGCGCCTGTTGTTTTACGTAATCCTTTAGATATGCGGTATCAAGATCTCTGTGAATGGTCACATTTGACACGTACCAAGGGTAGTAGTTGTGCGTAGGGTTCTGTTTTGCAGGACTTGCAGTCTCTACATGTGCGTCTTGGCAAGAAAACACCAAGCCGCGCATGCGTAGGTGATTGCGGGTCTTATGACGATTTTACACAATCGAATCTCGTTGATCAAACTTAATTTTGAATTTCTGCACAACAGAGGATAAAACTGCCGAAAGGTAATTTGGAATATTGTTTTCAAAATATCAGTATGTTTCTGCCAGGTCAACCCTTTGTCAATGATGACTCCAAGATACCTGACAGATTGCTCCCATGATCTTACACTATAGGGTGCAGTTCTCTACTAAATGACATAACCTTGCATTCAGAAATATTAATATTAAGCTAATTGTTAGAGCACCACAAGTAGATAAAGTTCACGCAGTTCTGAATCAGAATGCAGTCATTGAGATTATCAATAACAGCATAAACTATCAAATCATCAGTATAAAGTAGATGCATGCATTGCAAACACAGCGATAAATCGTTGTTGAAGATGTTGTAGTATAAGTCTTGGATTGATAGCCACCTACATGCTCCTTCCCATGATATTTGACTTTATGAGTAGCAGTAAAGGGTCTAACAAGCGAGCAGCTTCAAGCTTAGCTAATAACAAGTAGTGATCTATGGTATTTCATCAAAGGTTTTTTGAATGTCAGAGAATATGGCAAGTAGTGGTCATGATGATCCAAAACCTCAGAAATTTTATTTTATTCAAGTTAAAAAATCATCTTCTACCAAATCACTTAGAACATTTTATTGTATTTTATGTAGTGCCACAATTATTCTACTAGAGGAAGTATAGACTTTCATTTACAAAACTGCAGTAGCAATATAACGAGCAAGACAGTATTTCAAAAGGGATTGTACGAATTTAATAAATTACGTAATGATATCAAGATGTGTGTCAGTTTGAAAATGTTCAAAGGAAAATTGAAAAAACATCTCATGGGAAACCAGAATTCATAGAATTGAAATTTTGTATAAAAATATGTATTCTTGAAGACATAATATATACTAACTGACATATAAATCCGAACACCCAGTTTAAATGGTTTTATTTTAATAAAAGTTGGTGAATGTATTTATCTTACTGTAAATAACAAGTGAAAAAATTTTCAGCCTTATCAGTTGGACATTCCGGTTTTAATACTGCTTTTTTTTAATTCACTAACGCTCTAAAAATAAATATTTCAGCCGCAGTAAAGAATCAACGTTGGCGGATTTTGGTTCTTGACATCCTTTACGATCGGTTACGATGCCTAGAGTACGGAGACCTGTACGATTTCGTCAACTTAGTGAGTTTGATATGGGCCGTATAGTGGGACTTCGGGAAGCTGGACTTTCTTTTCGGGCAATTGCAGTTAGAGTGCAAAGAAGTGTAGACACTGTGGTTAGGTGTTGTCAGGCATGGCTTCGAGATGGCCGTACGCAAAGAGCAAGGGGCACTGGACGCCGCCGTAGAACAACAGACCGTGAAGATCGCCGCCTAAGATTATTGGCCTTAAGGGACCGTTTCTCCACTAACAAGTCCATTGCAAATGAATGGTTTGCAGAACACGGAAGACCTATTGGCATGCGAAGTGTTTACCGACGAATGAGAAGTTTTGGCTTGTTTTCATACCGGCCACACTGGGTCCTCCCTTTAACTCGAGAACACCGACGTAATCGCCTTGAGTGGTGCAGACAACGGTCACTCTGGGATCAGGAATGGAACAGTATTGTCTTTAGTGACGAGTCTCGATTTTGTTTAGGCATGCACGATGGTCGTGCCAGGGTTAGAAGGCGACGTGGTGAAAGGAGGAATCCACAGTTTTTTGTTGAAAGACATGTTCATCACACTGTTGGAGTTATGGTTTGGGGTGCTATAGCTTATGGTTCCAGGTCACCTTTAATCTTCATCAGAGGTAACATGAACGCGCAGCGTTATATCCACGAACTTCTAGAACCTCATCTTTTACCCTATCTTGACACCATGGCAGATCCAACTTTCCAACAAGATAATGCCGGACCACATGTTGCAAGAGTCACAATAGACTTCTTTCAACATAATGATGTCACATTGTTACCATGGCCACCAAGATCTCCCGACTTATCCCCAATTGAGCACGTGTGGGATATGATGGGTAGGAGATTGCTCAATTTGCAGCGTCCTCCTCAGACTCTAGAAGCACTTCGAGAGGAGTTGGTGGTTGCCTGGAATGAGATACCACAGGAGGACATTGGGCACCTGATCAGAAGCATGCCTAGGCGCGTTGGAGAATGCGTAGCACATCAGGGTGCATCCACACATTATTAAAGGTCAAAGGGCTTTAAAGCAGTGCAATCATTTTGAAATTTTTATCATTTACTTATTATGCTTCATGAAGTACTTATACAAAATTTTATTAAAATAAAACCATTTAAACTGGGTGTTCGGATTTATATGTCACTTAGTATACAATGTTTTACTATAAACCTGGGAACACGATCGAATCCTGAATCCATT